TTCAAAACTGTAAGGCCAAGGACTTCTAACATGAGACAGTTTGTGGGTTTAATAACATCAAGAAGTGTGAGAAGAAAAGCACAATACATGGTAGAAAGATGAAATTATAAGAGCTGACAAAGGAAGAGTTGCTCCTGACCAAAAAGGGAAAATTTCAGAGGGACATGCAGAGGAGACAACAGGTGGAATGAAAACCAAATATGAACGACTTGTTCTGCATATTTCTTTTCTTGTAGGAAGCTGAAGCATGTAATACTGTGTAAGGTGTAAGGAAAGCATTTCCCACAATTAGTAATAGAAAATGAGGTAACTAGTGTGAAAAAAAATGTCCTTCTGCAAGAGTCTGCAGACCTGTTGGTGCTGGCGCAGTCTGCTGCCTCAAGGACAGCTCTGCAGTTGCAGTTAACAAGCATGGCAGCCATCTAGCTGCCCTGAACCTCTCATGTGGGCTAAAATTAAGTGTTTTGCTTCTCTCTTGTATGCTTCCACCAGCTGTAGAATGAAAATAGTAACTACAGGGTACAGTTCAATCTAACCTCACTGATCTTGGGGATGAAATATGCAAAGCATCTGATAATTCATGCAAATAGGTGCTTTTGCTTGATTTTAGCATTAATAAAGGCATGGAGCACAGCACGTAACATGTTTACTTACAATACCCAAGGAACTAGATTAAGTGACCCAGCATGTCCTTCTAGTCCTACATTGCTATGACTTTCCCAGATCAGTGCCCCAGGACTACACACAACTGAGTCACCCCAGTTAGTAACGTGAACGCAACGACTCTTATATCCCTGGTAAAATCAAGGCAGTTCCAACTTAACTTTAAGTTGAGCATTTTAAACAGAGCTAAGATGAAATTATTTCACCTCTTTCACAACGATGCTCATACAAGGAATCACTGCTTAGAAGATACAAGATACCATGTTAAGCCACAGTGCCTCGGTGATGTCTCTGCACTCCTAGTGAACAAAATATAAGCAGGTATTGATATCCAAGCAGTTGGCATAGACTGTGCCTATAACCAGGCAAAGAAAAAGCACAGAATTATGGTAGTTCCCAAGATCTTGCCATTCTTTAGAAAGATTTTACCTGTCAAGAAAGAATGGAATAGAAATATGCAATGCAGAGACAAAGGGAATGTGGGTGATTAAACATGTATATCTTCTTTGTGAATAATAACTAACTTAACAAGCTGTGGTTAAGTGGTAGCTTAACCAGAAGTCCAGCTGCGGATACTAAAAACTTACATAAGTTCAAAAAACAAATGGCGAAACCCAATAAAATCTGTGCAGGACTGTCTAATACAAAGTCATCACCTCTACCTCAGGAAGTCCATGGGTGACAAGTCTCTTACAATAATATAGAGTATGCAGGAAAAATGGTTACGTTTGCTCTTTGGTGTTAGCTGTTGCTGCTTTCATTAGAACAGGACACTGAGACAGACAGATCTTTTGTCGGAAATGGTACAGACATGAGTTTCACTTTGATCTAATTTGCAAGGAGCAAAAATTAGGCAACAGTTGATTACATTAAAACCAAAATCTTCTACTTAGACTCTATATAAATAATCCTATGGCCAGGTAGGATTCGATGCTGAAGCATTTTGAGTCAAAGTACTGAAAAACAGGTTTGTCACGGTCAAAGAAGGCAGTTTTGTATTTACATCTCATCTTCTTTGTAAAGCCAGTATTTATACTGTTGTTAATAATATATAAATCTGACTTTTCTGAATTTTGGAAGTTTATTTTACATCTAAAAATATAAAACAAACTGGATATTTACATACAAATAACCAAATTTGTTATGACAGCTACGCAGAAAAAAAATAGATGCACAATTATACACATCTTTGGTAGATGGTCTTGGTCTTCAGATATAGGCAAAAAGATTTGGCAGTGAAAGTTTTATTTTTTACTTTCAATGACTAATACCAACTGTTCAGCTTGCACAGCTTGACCTGGGAAAAACTATATGCTAGAGAGAAAATTATTCTTTCTTAGAAAACCCATTTTTCATTCACAATACATTCTATCACCAGTAAAATATATTAATTTGATACACAACTGGTTCAACAGGAGTTTTATATTCTTAATGTTGGGTTTTTTTTTAATTATTATTATTCAAGTTAGCTCTCCTAGTTATCTATTATCCCGCTTGCAAAGGTTCATTTGAAAAACAAACAGCACAGCTGTCTAAGCTTATCTATCTGGCTTCCTTGATGCTGGAATGTGATTTTTGTTGGAAAGTTTTGAATGAGAGAATGTCCATAAAACAAATGGAAAACCTGAAAATATGTAGAATTCAAAGTCCTGCATTATTTTAAAAATACCCGAACAGGATGTAAACCCCATAAAATTATCATAATAATAAAAGACAAATTTCACCTAATTCAGCAGAATAATGCAGACAGAAATGGGTAAATGAAGCAGGCCAAAGTCTGAGAAATGTATTAAACTAGACTTAACACACATAACAGTGTTGGCATGTCAGGAAACAGATGAATGTTTCTTTCTGAAGCATTAGTAATATTTCTTCCCACACCTCAATCGTGCCACACAGGGAATTTTGCAGAAGCTTCCTATCTTTAATAAAATGATTCTGCTTCACTTTAGGGTTAAGCTGTATGATCAACCAAGTACTAACTAAGCCAGAGTTACCACTTATTCTGTATACTTTTAACCCACTGAAAAGCTAAAGCAACCAATGACTGCTTAGATCTCAGAGAAAGAGTGCTACACAAATGCATTTTATGTTTCACTTGTGATAAGCATAAAATGTAGAGTAGCAAAAACCAGTGATAATTTTACCAGGACTTCACGGGTTGCCCTGCAAAGATCAGCCCCAGCTCCTCTTGGGAGAGGTGACCAAAGCACAGTCCTGTACCACGCTGGCTGTCAGCTCTGAAGTTACTCCATGGAAAGATCTCCCTATACCACGCTAATGACAAGCAGTGAAGAATGGACAAAGAGAACGAACAGATGATCATGTATCTCCAATTGTTAGCGTTTTAGGGTGCAGATTCAAAAAGACAACATAATGAAAATGAATTACATTTGAGACTAACAGGTGAGGGCTTTTTTAAAATAAAAGCTGAAATCACAAAACAAACTATAGTCTTACTGAAATGAGGGCAGAAGACCTGAACAGCAACAGTCACATGAAATCATTATGAGTCTAACAAATGGCATTTGTTTACGTAATGCAGAAAATAGAGAATGGAGTGCACAAATGACAGTTTAGCAATGCTATCTTCCATTTGGGTCAAGATATGACTTTTTGCCTGGCTGAAATTTTGACATTAAAGCAATCATGGAAAAGAACGGTTGCAGAAAGAAAATGGAGCGTATGAAACTTTCTTTCAATTACAAAAATAACCCTGATCAGTTCATCTCACTGCAGTATTTTGCAGGAGCACTAACTACAGAAGGTGAAGTATTGCCATAAATCACCAGATATTTTATTGTAGTAAACATCTGCTGCTCCTGGATATAGATATGTAGTCAAGGGAGCACTTGAAAAAGAATAAGGAACAAGGAATGCAGGTACACCAGTTACTGAAAAATAATGTTCAAACCAGGATTTCTTTTGCTTTTGCCATTAGGACTAAACAGCTTATGAAGTTATACAGATATTAATGGTTACACAGATTTATTGTATTTCCAAATTAAGACCACACCTTCGAAACCTTTCATTGAATCGGTGCCAAAAGACTATTCAAGTTAGGTTGAGCATATTGAAAGAATAATGCAGTATTAAGCTTACCAAAAATAAAATCTTAGCCAAAGTCATAATTTCCAGCAGCATATATTAAAGTTTGGTTTGGGATTCAGTCATGTGAGTAAATACTGAACTTTCAAAAAACACCTAAGTGCAAAGGAGCGCAAGGCAGGGTCCAAACTAAGACTCAAATGAGCTGGTACATCCACACAGCACAGTGTTGTTCTAAGCACACAGAGTAATTATGGTCCAGAATCTGCATTTAACGTGCTTCAGAGCCTGGGCTAATATGCCCTGCCTTCGGCACAGTTTGTTAGCTCAGGCTCAGTGCCAAACTGACAGTGTTATACCGCACAAGCCTCTGGAGCGGCCTCTACACTGTACTCATTGTGCTGTATAAACAGGCTCTTAGGAGAAAAACACCTGTAGATCTAGATGCTCCTTTTGCCACCTACATGATTTTGAAAGTCCTATCTCTTCTGTATCTTTTCATGTACACTACTTCTTCTCGAAGTTTTGGAGGCTGTTTCATTATAGTGATGGCAAGCAAACTCTTAACCCTGGATCCTCCACGTGGAAGAACATAAGCAGCCGCCTCCATACTTTTTTCCTGTAATTTCTGCCAGATGGGTTTCCTCCTACCTATCCAACCTTTATTACTGGGACGAAAAAATTCTTCCTTTGTGCCTGATGTTCCTGTCACAGAAAGAACAGCTCCTAGTTTTGTTGGTGTTACGGTTTTGTACATCAAGTGGCAAGGTAGGCCAACCACAGCTCCAGTAGCAAGGCAGTTGCTTCTTTCCATCGTATACGAACAACTGAAAAGAAACTGCTTCTGTCTGCCAAGTCTGTCTTCTTGTAAGAAAACTGACATTTTCAGACAGATGTAATAGTACAATATGTGTCATGTTTCAAAGGGCTGGTTTGAGAAAACTTTAGATGTATCTCCTACAGAAAAACAGAAAAAAAGTAAAAGAAGGAGCTTATCTTGCAAAGGATTTAAACCTAATCAAAGTATCAAGCTACTTTTGGAATAAGCTAACACCATTTTATTTGTCCAGGAATCAAGAGTAGCGTCCCCAACGGTGTAAGTGAGAAATGAGAGAGCTATGGATTGGAAAAGGTTCATAAAAATAAATAAAAGACAGAAAGAGAATGGGAAGAATCAATATTGCTAAAGATGTTCCTTTAAATGCTCTCTAGTCATATGTTAATTACTAATTTTCACTGTTTCAACTGGAATCACTGTTGACTACAAACGAAACAGGATAAATCCTTACCTTCAACAGCCAATGATACAATGCCTTGTGTATCTTCAACTCCGTACATAACGTCACAGCGATACACCCCAGCATCACTGGCACGCAGCTTAGAGAAAGTGAGCGAAGCATCACCAGTCTCCTCTGAATGGGTCGGGACAGACACTCTGTCTTTGTAGCTTTGACCTATTTTGATGTTGCCATTTTGGGCCACCAGGACTGTAGTTTCTTTTGCGTCTTTTCCACTTTTATCCAGTTCAACCTTTGACCATTTGATTCGAAGATACTCAGCTGCATAGCTGGAGGATATAGTAGGGGTGGTTGAAAAGAAGCATGGCAGGACTGAAGTTCCAGAGAGGGATCCCTTTACCAGGGTTTTTTTTTCTGCTTTAACTAGAAAAGGGGAGAGAGGGGGAGAGAAAAGAAAACCACATTAGTGTAACAGCGAAACAGGAAAGAGCCACATTTCATTGTTATTTAATGATTCACAGACATGCAAGACCTGAAATCCATGAACCTTAGTTGATTTGTAAAAGGATTGATTAGTATAAGCTAAAAAAGAGTTTGCACCAATATCCTAGGCTGCTGATGGAGCCCTTTTGTGTTTGGACAAATTTAATTCACTGCTCTCTGACTTACCTTCTCCATTTGTTATAGCCACCAAGTTATTGACCTTCTTCGTAAACTGTTTTGAAACTTTAAATGACAGATGAGCTATAGAGTTATGGGTTTTTACTTCATAGGAGGAAGACCACTCTGAGTGAAAGATGGTGAGTTACCTCACATTTATTGCTGGCCAAAAGCATGCATATAGGGGAGCTACTCATGTTTACACCTTGCCTTATCTCACAGTAGCTTGTTCACTTGCTTCTGTCCTTAGAGCAAAACATAGCCCATGACTTTCACACACATGGCATCTCTTACTCCACTATTCTTTCAAGGGTTAACTCTTTTTATTGCATACATGCTGAAACAAAAGCCTTTGCAGAGAGATTCTCCCAAATAGTCATTCTTTTAAAATTATTTCCTTGTAGCCTCAGGGACTTTAACACATTGCAGAAATTAAGTATTTTAGGATGTTAAAGCAAAGAAGGAAGTAAAGTGCACAGAAAGTCCCTACTTGGCTCAGACTCGACATGATAGGACTTTTATCATTTTTTATGACATCCCCAGCTGCAAACGCTTTACAGTGAAATGGTTCCATCTCATAATATCCTGAGGGGAAAGTTGACTACCGTTCACCCAACCTGCACACAGCAACTGTCTCAAGAGAGGATTTCTGTTAGATTTATTTTTTTATATGAAGTTATTTCACCATACCTAATAGCTTAATGAAGATTAAAAGCTGATGCACAACAGTATCTATCTTACCTCTTTCACTGCCCTGCACTCTAACATTTTTTGAAAGGTGGAACATGATCATCATTAATCTGAACTATGCTAGGATTCATAAAGTTTAGAAATACAGTAACTTCAAATACCAGCCACCAACAGAGTCATACATGAAACAGGAGACATCAGCACATGAAAATTATTTAGCTATTTACCTATCATCAAAAATATGATCTGTCCATAAAGAGTAGAAGATTTTGGGGAAAAAAGGACAAGGAAAAAAAAAATTTTTTTAAAAAAAAGGAAAAATTGGTCACTAAGCTGATTATTTTTAAAAAAGACAGATGCTTTTATACAGGATAAAGTATTAACAGTATTATCTAAAAGTTTCAACACAAGAATCATCAGCTTGATGGCCAAGTATTTTAAAAATAAATTTCTAACCAGGAAAAAAAAAAATAAATGGACTGACCAAGGAAGATCCAGAGGAAGACCTAGAAGTTTGAATAGAAGTCCTCAGGTCCTTTCTATCCATGCCTACCTAACTAGAAATTCTTGGGAACACAATACAGATACAGTCAAGAAGACTGTATCAAAATTGATTAGACCAGAGAGAGCATAACACCGGTGTAGTGCAGTGCTGAAACAGCTGCATTGCACCCAAAGTTCAGCCGAAAAGTTAACATGGATTGGCACTGTCTAAGCACATTAACCAGAAAGATGCTCACTCTCTGATTCAGGCACGTGGTGAGATTTCCATTCTTCCGTTAACTCACAAACAGAGATCGGTGATGGTACAACTCACATTTAATAGTGAAACAAACTAATCACTTCATAGACTTCAAGCCTGGATCTAGCAAGAATCTGTTTGTAAACCAGGAAAAGACAAAACCAGGTCCAATATAAAAGTGAGGACTGGCGAATTCAGAAGGCTTGAAGACAAGTCTGTAGAAGTTACCAAAGATTAAACACTAGCTTAAAAGCTTTAATTTTATACACATTTCTTTGGGAAAAAGATTACATTGAGGGGGTTTTGGGTTTTTCTGGTTTTTTTTTTATTTCCACAAGGAAATAAAAACTCAAGAGCCAATTGATTGCTAAAAACTAGAAAGTATTGATTTTATCTTGAAGATGTACAGTAGGGAAACACCACTGCCTTTTTGTATCACCTTTAATTTCTTGAAACTTCACTGAGTTATAGTGGGGCAGAGACAAAGAAACAGAATGAATGCTCAGTCCTATCACTTTTGATGGAATTGCTGCCAAATTGCACAGGTGGGAGATTAAAATCAGTCTCAAAATATTTAGTATTTATTATGATCTCTTGTCATCTACATACATTACAGGAACTTCTTAAATGAAAAATGACCTAATTAGAACTATCCTGACTGACAGAATTTTAATAAACTTTTCAGAACATTGTTTCTGGCTACAAGTGATCTGGAATATCAGCACTGAACCCTGAGGATATTTCCTCTCTGAAATTTGTGTCTTCACATCAGCAGACTGAAATCCTTGGCAAACAACACATACCATCATGACATGCAAACTAGATCTATCCTAGATTGGGTTACGTGCCAGAATAGGAGACCATGCAGCTACAAAAATGCTCGTCTGACTGTAGAAAACACTATAAACCACTATATAAAAGCACTCTCTTGTTTTGACAAGAGGAGAGGAGAGGAAGAGAGGAGAGGAAGCGGGGAGAAGCTCTTCCCAACTGGGAAAAAAAAAATATTTGGCACTGAAACATAAGATTAAATGATGTTCCTCCATAGTTCCAAAAAGCATGACTTCTTGTAGCAGTTCAGGTTAGGTAGTCAAGCAGAATTTACCGGCCAATCCACAAAGCATCAATATTTTCTGTTAATCCATATAGCCTGTTTGCTTCTTTAGCATTTTCGCTAAAAAATGTATATGTAATACATGTAATGTCTGCTTTTCAGCCACTATCAATGGTATGTGATAGACTATTACTTAGAAGGGACATGATGAGCAAAAATACGAACAAAGCATTGTGTAACTGTTTGTAAATTTAAACACAAGCTGAGAAAAGTAGATATTTGCCAACATTGTTTTATACTATATCTCCATCTCACCACACAGGACCACGTAACATCATGTACTCTTAAACAAGAGGATGGTTTTGAAATGACTAAGCTGGTTGGCGATTAATATAAGCCATTTTTTCTGTTGCTAACTAATATGTATCACTCAAGCATCACTAATTCATTAGGGAAAATACATAGACAATAAAGTAGTTAAGTATACAGCTAAGTTCAAATCACCTGGCCACAAACACGTATCTTGGCAGAACTCCCAGCAAAGTCAATGGGAGATTTGTACAAGATAATGGGACTACAGCGTCGGGCCAAGAGCAGCACAATGCAGTCAGATTACGGGCAGACTCAGTAGACAGCGTGCCTTAGCAGTTGGGGTTTTTGTTGTCGTCCCCTGTTTAAATACTAAATATCGCCAGCATCAGAATATGTAGCAGGAATAGAATGCAGAATGAAAACTTCTTCCATGTGATGCCCTGACAGAAGATGGTCCTGTCAGGTCTAACTTATCAGGTGAGAGTTTGCCACAACTTGTTACTGCCTTATCTTCTCCAAACGTAAAGCTATGACTGGGTATTTGTATCAGTTTATCATGGGGATGATGGCATGTGGGACTCTCTTTCTTTAAAAATATAAAAATAAAAACTCCAGCTTGCCTTTTCAGGCTTTTTCCCCTCCCCCAGTAAAACTGTCTTAGGTTCTCCCAGTCTACCATTTCAGCTGTAACATCAGCTTATCTTACCAATAACATATGTCTTGATATCTTTCTTTTGAAGTGAGAGACAAACTACAGAACTTCTTGCTTGAGAACAAAGTTTCTTTTCTTTGTACATTCTTTTCTGTTGTAAATGTTACAAAACTCTTAAAATAGAAATCCAAAGAGGGAAAAAAAAAAAAAAAAAGACAGAACTCTGCCCTGTTGTATTACATTAACCATAACGACCACACCAGTAGGTCCGTACTGGACAAGAAGGCAGAAGAAAAGAATGCCCTACATGAAGTGACACTGCTTAGAGGAGCAATTTCGCTATGCAATTAAGCTTAACTGAACAGAATGCTAATGCTGAGTAGGCAAATAAAAACATATGCTCAAAGAATAATAGATTCTATTTATTTTAAGTCAAATTTATGATACAAAAATTTTGAATCTCATTTTTCAGTTCATCAACAACCTACCTAGAGATATGCTCTACTGTCCTGTCTACTAGTAGCAATGGAAAGGATCAATGAAATTATCTGTTAATCTGTTAATTCTGTTAAATCTGACTACTAACAGTGATTCTAAGAGAAGTCTTTTCATTAACCATAAATCTTTCAATGAAGATAATGATAAATTAAAATGAACGCACTGCTTACACAAACTCGTATGAAGCTCTGACAGCAGAGGTAACAGACTGAGACCCAACAAAACCCTCACTGAGCTCTTTACCAGGTCATTTGTGGCCTGAGTAAGCAGAATAAGAGGAGGCACAGAGTAATGATGAACCAACTACTTCCATATTCTGCAAGAAACTCAAAGGAAGCCAGACAAATGTAAATCTCTGCTGCAGAACTCAGCATAACATATGCAGTCACCATAGGCATGCACACATGTATTTTCTAGCACATATAGAACATAAACATGATTAGATAAACTGATGTCTAAACTGGTATATTGTTTATATACCTTTGAAAGAGCATATCACACACTGCCATCTCAGGGATTTCTACAGTCTTTTGGATTACAAGGCTTTCACAAAAGCATACTCACTTGTGGCATGACAAGCAGTCACATCAATAGTGTAAGATAAACTCCAACATTGATCATAGTCACAAGGTCCAGCTTGTAAACTACAATATCCTAACACCAGCTAGCTCAAAGTGAGTAAATGCCACACTAGCAGTAGGCGTAAACCTTGCTCGTGGACTTCTGTCATTAATCCTTCACCTGTACTGGAGCAAACAGTAAAGGTATTGCAAAGGGGCACTCCCGTGACCCCAGAAGCTTACATCGTATTTCCTGCTGCCCTCCTGACAAACATCTTCTGAGAATTTAAAGTCTTAAAGAAGCCATGAAAGACCTTTCTTAATTTGCCCTCGAAGGAAAAATACTTTTGTTGATACATAAAATCTAACAAACATGCCATGCAAACATGCTAGGTATTTATGAACATGATCATTCACAAAAGTGAGAGTGGAAGAGGAAATAAAGACGGGAATAATGATCAGTGGTAAACCCATAAAACTATGCATGCTTGTAACTTGCTGTGTTCTAAATTAAGCTTCAGTTTTGTTACAACTTAAATACTGACAGATTCCAGGATTTACACTTTAAAAATAACTGTTGATTTTGACAAATTTTCCATATGATATTAGAAAGAAAAATTTTAAGCTTTCAGAACAATTTTACACAAAAGCTTTTTGCAGGAAATCTTGCAATCATACTGAAGTGATTATTTAATTAAATTTAATTAAATCATATGGAGTAACCCAACTGATTGTGGAAATGGAAGCATGCGAATTTGTGTTTCATGACAGGTTTCAAGGCTTCAATTTTATATTCAAATTCAAGATTTTAAAACCAAATAAATTTAAACTTAAGGTGTCTAACTCTGAAGAGTTAGAAAATGCAGAGATATATTTCATTTTTAGAGTATTTTTTAAAACAAAAGAAACAGCTGTAATCTGTTTTTCTATTTGAAAAGATTGTCTGTAATCTTCTAACACTCATCTTCAAAAATGTTATTACACAAACTAACTCACATTTCTACAAAATAGAAGGATAAGAGTTGATCCCACAGAATCTATCAGATCAATCCATGAAAAAGAAAAAGATTTTCATCTTTGCCTCCTTCACCATGGCCATATTTTGAACATGTTTAAGGCTCTCTCTGGCAAAAGTAAGTCCTCCAGCTTCAAAAGTAAAACCCACAAAGTTCACAGTGTAGTTTAGGAACACAAGGGTCTTTCTGAATTCCTTCCAAAAGATTCAGGTAAACAAGGACCAGTCAGAACCTGGTCTATATTCCTAAGAAGCTCTTACCAAGACGTT